GAACGGAGTCGCGGGCGAAAGCTTGTACTATATAAAGAGGAAAGATTTTTATTTTTGTATGTATTGAAATAAGTCAAAAACTACTGGACCTATTTCAATTTCATTATTAAAAATCTATGTAAACAGTAACATAGGCTATTTTTTTTAACTTCTCGCGGACGAATTCGCAAACAACAGCTAGTGTTAATTTTCAGGTCGACGTTTTGTGATAATTCCACAATCGGAATTAATGAACGAAAATATGCCATTGTTGTTGTCCAATGTTAAAATAGTGAACGCGTCTGTTACTGCCAACCCTGTCGATCATATACAAAGGATGATAGTGCCTAATAGCATACCAGGTTAGTCTATAACTAGCACTAAAAAAATATTAAAAACCATTTCAGGAATATCGACTGTATTTATACTGATATAATAAAGAGAAAAGATTTGTATTTTTGTATGTATTGAAATAACTCAAAAACTACTGGACTTATTTAAAAAACTTGCACCATTAGAAAGCTACGTTGTCACTATATTTTACTATTTTTTAAATTTCACATGGACGAAGTCGCGGGCAACAACTAGTGTTATTTAAATAGATTTATTTGCCCATTTATTTAGAAATTATATGTTAATGAAATTTTATCATGTACTTTAGGTTAAATTATTTAAAAAAATCTTGTTTTAATGTTTAACTAAATGACTATTAGTCTACCTTTAGAGTTATATCAACCCTAAGGACAGGTTCCGAGCCCCTTAGTAACCAAGCTCATTATACGTCCTCACTGTAAAGTAAGGGATGACTAGGCCATAGTCAACCACGCTGCACTGCGGGTTGACTTCACACATATCTTTGAATTTCTTCGCCGATATGTGCTGCATCACGATGTTTTCCTTCACCGTAAGAACGTCGGGTAAATTATGTACATATGAAAAATCTAAAATCACATTGGTACAGCGGGATTCGAACCCAACACCTGTAGATTACGTCAAGTGCTTAAACCACTGAGCCACAGACGCTCTTATAAATATTATCTTTCCTGTAGAAATGGCAACACCTCATCAGTTGCAATTAATGCCATGGGTGCCATTGGAGTTATGGGTTCAAGGGAAAAGTGACAATGACCTGGTTATTTTGCAAGTAAATTCATCCAAACCAATATGGACGATGAATGGTGGTCAAAGTATAGTAACATTGACGGATTATGCGTGTGACACGCCCGTCTACTGCAGCCTGCCTATACAAGATAAAACTAGGTAAATCTGTCTATACTAATATAATAAAGCGTAAACACACACTTCTTTGTTGCCTAAGATGTCAGTTATTGCAGCATATTTTTGAATATTTTTTTTAATAAAAAGCCCTACACTTACGACACGCTTTAGGCTGTATTTCACGCTATTAAACTTAGTTGGTAAATGAATTGAAAAAATTCACTATGTATGGTCTATATATTTATTAAATATCTTTGTATAAAGAGGAAATATTTGTGTTTTTATATGTATTGAAATAACTCAAAAACTACTGGAACGATTTCAATTCTTTCACTATTAAAAACTGTTATCGGTAACTACTTTTAATTATTTCTTAATTTCACGGACGAAGTCACAAGCAACAGCTAGTGTAATCTATCTAGATATACCTTTTATTGGTAGAAAACAGTCTCCCACACATAAGAACATAATTCCCCTTCCCATCCTTATAAGAAAAGCGTTTTTTTTTAGAATCATATTTCCGGAAGAAAACAACGGGACAGCAGTATATAATCCGCCTACTTTACAAATATACGAGGAATCCGCTAACGGGAATACGCCGTTCGCTAAATGGGTTAATTCCGTTGTTAATAATAAAAATATAAACAATAGTACATATGTAAATGACAAAGAGATGACACAAGAAACAACATCCAGAATAAAAGTGAAATCTTTCGCCAAAATAACGAAAATACCTGACAATTTCGTAGCACCGAGTCGAGTTTGTTTACAAGATAGGTTGTATGTGAAAGTGTCTGATCAACCTTTGAAATATGCTAAGGTAAGTGACATTTATTTCAGGGTAACTTTTAGTTTTAACAGTGGTAGTGTCCGCTTTAACATTTTCGCACGAATAGGCCGGCACGCCCCCAGTAATACCACGACCACACAGAAGACAGGCGTCAAATGGAAGCAATTCCGTGTACAGTCTGATGAGTGTGCCGGAGGCCTAATTTAAGTCTCTTTCTCATGCCACTCTTTTCATATAAGGAGAGGATGGGAAGGGGAAGTGGGTTTGACGGTGAAGGATATGCATAGGAAGGGGAAATATCCTTTTTATGTGCGTCTCCTCTGTAGAATAAGGGAAAGCAACGCTTCTGCAATTGCGGATGTCTATGGGCAGCGATCACTTCGCCATTTTGGCGGATTCTGGTGGCCGGTTGCTTGTATGCCACCTTGTGTTATAAAAAAAAATAGTTTTTAAGATGGTAGAATTCCGAAAGTTGGGAAATTTTTACTTACTGATAACTATAGCATGTTAATTAAAAAAACTGAATATCCTTGTAGGTTTATAGCCATAATTATAATAAATATTTGTAAGAAAATCTTCACTATTTCTTTTTTTACCAGGTAATAACAGCATTGTCGAGTTTAGATGAGTTCCATAACTTAGTGTTAGAGGACGCACCCCTCAAGTTATTACCCAAAGATGTTATCCATTATGATTCCTTACAATCATTGAATAACCTCAAGAATTCATTTATTTGGCCACTAAGTAGACATAAGTGTTAAGTGATATTTATTGACAATGGAAACCAACCCTTATAGTGAAGTGTACTTTAATAAATTTGTGTTTTTTTGAGATATTAAGTTTTTTTACAATTGGATACAAG